CCTGTCAAGAATTCAGGGGCCAGGGTCAAACTCTTGCATTTTGTTGCAGGCCCCTGGAAGGCACTGCCCTGCACTTGCAAATTGACTTCTGACCCTTGGCACAATAGCCAATTTCTTGGTATTTAAAAATAGGGTAGGGTACATAATCCATGCAAATGCAACTTTCTGACTGCTAAATAAGCCTAGGGAAATATTTGTAGGGCTTGAAACAAGCCATTGAAATTTATATATATATTCCACATTGAAGGAAAGAAACTGATTTCTGTAATTTATTGATATAAAAATGTTAAACAAAGATGACAAATACATCAAAGTATTAGACAATAACAGCACTATAACAGTAAGACACAGGCACAAACATTCACATACATAGATACAAGTACACCTAATAGTTATGTACTGTGCTGTAGTGGAAAACACAATCATGTAAGGCATGAAGCAAAGCAACATCACGCTGGATTTTACACGATCTCCTTAATACATATGATATATTATATGCATCTATTGATTGAATTCAGTAAATAAAACCATTTAATTACTAAATTCAAATAATTTCAGAATACTAGTTAACTAGTTCCTTGGATCAATACAAGAAAATTTTATTAACGTTAATAATAATGTTAAATCGCCAAGAACTATGACGGTTCCTATGAAGAGAAATTGTTTCAGTTTTCGGTATAAGTTTCACTAACATGCTTGCCAAGAAATCTGGTTTGCATGGCAATGTTATAATTATATTGCTCAAGAATACGCCAGTGTGTTCAAAATTTACAATCTGTAGATCATGCACTAATTCTTAGAACATGTACAATCATGAATTCATGCTCTCTGTCTTTTCATCCATCACAACCAAGTGAGTTCGTATTTAGTCAGAAATCATACATTACTGCACTAAACACGTAGATGACCCCAAATGCCTTAAAATATGAATCCTGTTACAATAAGTACCCATAAAGTACCTTATATGTAAAAGAAAAAGAAATGAATACTGCATCAAAATGATTATGCAAAATGAAGCACTTTTAAATACTATACATCTGACTCAATCAAATGTTCAATACACCGGCAAGAACAAATAATTGCAAATCCAGCGTGTATTCAAAAGAAGTCTATAAAATATTTTGCACACAGAGGAAAATTTCTGTCCGAGGTAAAATGAATTCCCTGACCATTTTAATAAACTTCATGATCACTCCTATAGTAAATCCAAAAACAAATACGCTTCAGCAACATAAACAGTTCAGTAATAACATACTTTGTCAAGAAGTAACACATTTGCATATCTGAATCAGCACTTGCAACATTTATAAATTAATTGAGCAGAATGGAGGATTTTTGTGTACACATAATCTTAAAAAACCACAAGATGGTACTACCCTCTTTTGCTCATTAGTGTACATAAACAACAAATTCTGTATAAAAGCGATTGAGAAATGAGACACCGAAACTGTTTCACATGATCTTAAAGAGGAAGAGAAAAAAAAAAAACACAAGAAAAAGTTTTAACCAATCACAGGTTTCTTGTGCGCCCTCATTAGTTTCTGTCTTTTGCTCCAGTCAGAGAGTCTCTGGGTTGTCCTCCTCGGCAACATGAGCTGATTACAAGCTGTGACAATTTTGTGTTCATTTTTACGGAGATACATCCTTGCATCTTTTTGCATCTGTTTGATTTTCTCCGGTTTGATTTCATTAAGCATGAGGTTGTCTGACATGTAAGGATTAAATCTGTAGTAGGTGGCCGGGGGTAGTAGATCCTGGAGGGTCATGTGTACACCTGTAAAAACAACAGTTATATACAGGACTTGTATGTGTATGAAGTATCAGACTTATAAATTAGAATACAGGAACTCTTTATTCCAAATAAGATAACTACTTGTAAAGGTAATCTTTGGTTCACAATGATTGCAAACATGCTTGTTAACAACACCATTATATTACTAGGGTAAACAATTAAAAAACTGGTTCTAGTTAATATACATGTAACTAATGTGTAAAATACATTGTTTATCATCAGAAAGCAGATTTACTACTTGTAGTCTTGGTCTTACTACAAACACTCTTGCTTACTTTCTGTATTTGTAGCACTGTCTATGATGTTGTCAATCTGTTTCCTTGCTGAGGGAAGACTAGACATGAGTTCAAGGTTGGGTTCGTAGCGACCATTACCAAGGGAGATAACACACTGGATGGGTTCATCTGGCCACAGGAGTTTACACTCATGAAGGGCCACAGCTGTTGGATTGTTGTGCATTATACCTCCATCCTGTTTCCAAGAATAAGAAAAACTTTATTTATTATCAAGTTGTTATGGTAACACACAGGATATATAATGTAAAATCAATATTAACTTTTCATGAGTTTTATACCGTATATCCAGTTAAAATCCATAAAGAACTTTAATAATATATATATATAATGTACATCCTAAACACTGTTCTTGCACTCTCACCTGGTGAATGTACTCATCAAGAATAAAAGGTTTGTAAAATCCTGGGGCAGCAGACGAGGCCCTGATACACTCCCACACCCTGTGTTTACAGCTGCCAGGGTACATGGAGTAGACCCCTGGGGGGAGGTTATAGGTACGAAACATGTAGCTCTGTAGGCGACTGATGTTGGAAAGGGTAGATAAAGCTGAGTACTGCAAAATTCAAAGTTTTAATGTAAATGCAATAAATTTAAAAGTTAACCTAAAGAGAAATAGGCAAAACTACGAATGCTCTTTATAAGAGATTAAAAAGCTAACCTTAACTCTGACAGGGTAATGAGACACTTTAAAACTAGTATATGGAAGATACGTAATTTTATTATATGTAAGACAGCAACAATTAGTTTTACCTTAGGACAAAGAGGATCTTCTGAGAAATCTGAGAGGAACTTTTCCCCCATCTTCTCCCTGCATCAAAATAAATATAAATTATCAGAACTATAAGACAAGAAAAATATTTTGAAATTTTGAAGACAAATGTCTACATGCAGGACATAGACTATTAACATTTTATATCAAATGAATCACCTTCCATAAAAAAACCCCCAAAACTAAGCAAATCAAACAAACAGAAAATTATTCTTATCTGCTGATTATCACCTGAAAAAAACTCAGCATTATGCTGTGTGTCTTACTTGAGAATTCGTTCCCAGAGTTCCACATCGTAAAAGGAATGATCAAGGACGAGCTGACTATAGCCTCGTGTTTTATTCTGTGTAAACATCTGTCTGCTACACTCCAGGTACAGTTCCTCACACTCTGTAATACTGCGCCGAAACAGGAATAAAATAGCCAGGATAAGTGACCCTGTACTGACCCCACAAACATAGTCAAACAGTTTGTAGATTGGTTTTCCACAATGTCTTTCCATTTCCCTGAGAGTCTGCAGAGCCACCAAACCTCTGAAAAATTCACCAGTGAGAGTACATTATACTGAGTCACAAGATAATTATAGAGAGGCTGCATGTGTATGTTAGTTGACATTTTTTAAAGGGAAATAACTCTTCAAGAGTCATTTAATTACATCTTTGATAACAGAAAACAAGAGAAATTAGATCCTTTAAAAAACAATTTTGAGTTTATATATAGTATTTACATAAAAGTTTGTGATTTGATGATTTTTTTTTTGAATTTCAAATCAAATTTGTAGCCAATAAGACTCTTACTTTGTGCCTCCTCCATCTATGGTGAGTATGTTGACTCCCTGACCTCTGGGAGGATGGACATGCCCCATCAATGTCAGAGCCTGGGAAATCTCACTCTGGGCTAACTCACTGGATGTGGTTATCTGCATCCTGAGAAGAACTGGTAACAGTCCATGCTAAATACAGAAAGAGAAAATAAAAAATGCAAGGGACACAGATGACAATAACTTCACATTTCCATTTTAATATTTTTTATTTTTATTTTTAAATATTTTTATATTTTTAAACTTGGGAATTAAATGATTTGTCATGAAAACTAAAAAGTTTGCCAATGCACTATATACACTTTACTTTTCTTATGTGCATTTGTCTGTTTGCGATAAGGTGACCATGCTGATTGGGCAGAATAACTTTTGAGTTATCACTTATTTGATTCTAATCTCTTTTTTTGGTTATGACAAGTCAAGAAAAATTATCAAAATAAGCTGACCAATGAGCCCTGACAAACATGACAAAGTGATTCTATTTGTGTAGAATACAGAAGATAATGGATGCAGAGGATTTTAGTTGGAAAAATTAATATTTTACACATACCGCTACCACTTTATTTAAAATCATACGCCCAAACATGCTCAACTAATCAAGCATGGACAATATGTTTGTGAAAGAAACCTTATGTTATCAAACAATGCATTGATAAAATTCGAAATTAATCATGTTAATTCAGGTTTGTCATGTAAACATTCAATTAAGATGTATTTCTATTTGAAATCAACAGCTACCTTCAAAGCAGTTTGTCTTTCATCGGGATATAATATAAGATGGTGGCAGAAATCCTCCAGACGTTTAAGCTTGGAGTCGGAAGATTCTGCCCGGCTAATTAACTTGACGTGTTCTAATGTTTTTCTTGAAATAGTAGAGCGTGACACATAGTCTTTCCTTACGATCACTTTTTTCTTTACTTCTTCTTGTGTGGTAGGGTCCTTGGCAGTGGTTGCCCAGAATCTGTCCAGTAAATGTCTCAGACCCTTGTCTTCTGCCTGACTTTTTGGTATGGAAGCATTTTCACTGAGATTTTGTTCTAGTTCTGTTCTTGTCAACTTGACTGGTCTGTACTTACTTTCAGTTTCTGCAGTTGGGTCATAAAATGACAACACTGAACTTTCTTCAATTTGTGATGAAAAATCTTTTGATGCAACAACATTATCATTTTCTTCTGGAAAAGTGAATGTTTTTTTCTTCTGAAACTTTCCTTTTATAGATAAGGATGGTGCTTTATCTAAATAATCTTTTACAATGCTTGGTGTCTTGAGAATTCTGCTGGAAACATCACCATATGCATCTTTTAATCTGTCTGTAAATGCACTAGTAATCCCTATTCGGTGCAAGATATCCTCTTTTTTATTCTGTGTCTGACCAAAGTGGAATTTTTTTACTGTTTCAGGATTGGTTGTCCTCTGTGAGAATGTTTGACTTGTTTCTACATTTTGATGAAGGCACTTAATACTCAAAGGGCCTCCCAATGTGTTCTCAAATAATTTAGGACCTGAACATGATGCCCGCAGCACAGACATTCCCGATTTATTACAATACTTTGAATTTTCTGGAAAAGAGTTTAAAGAACTTGATATATAATTATCAAAAGTAATCTAAACATTCTTATAAAAGCAATGCATTTATAACAATAAAAGTTTATAAATATTATTTCTAACAGTTAGTTTAAAGAATCACTGTACTAAGTGGCTTATGAAATGTAAAATTCGGGTTAAATGGATATCTGGGTTAATAGGTCAGATAAATATTTTGATCCAGCTTCTTTATCTGAAAAAATTTAAAATATTTAAAACTTGCATGTTGATCTGGATAATAATTTGTGACATACATGATGATATCATATGGTTATGGTATCATCATGAGACTGTGCTATACAAACACAATATTGGCAATTTTCCCATAAATATTTTTTCTAAATCTGGGGTACTTGACTCTTGAGACAGTCGGGAGAGGGGGGGGGGGGTATATTTACAAATCAATTCTACCAAAACTATTGTGAGTGAAAGATGAGACCATACAATGAACATGTAAACATTATCTAGGCTAATATATAAACATGACAAATGAAAACATTTCCCCCAGACTTGCTCAAGGATATATTGTTTATTATCAGATAGATAATGTTTAGATCTTTGACAATTAAAGAATAAATCATTAATCAAGGCTGAAAAAAATCAAGTAGAGTTATAGATATCCCCCTACCTATTATTGTAATCCAAGTTCTCCGAAATACTGAAATAATTTCTTGATGTTTACAAACGTCAATGTTGTGAATGCGTCATGAAATATGGCGTGACAGCATGACCTGTTGAAAGGCGCCCTCTGATTGGCCAATATGAAACAGGGCGATGAAAACGTTTCAAAACATGTTGGCGTTTTGTGTGTAATTTTGCATTTTTTAAACTTTGCTTAATTTCATTCTTTCACAATGCTGCGATAGACAGCAAGATATTTTTTTAAATCCCCATTTTAAGATTAAAGAAAAATGTTTCAAAGTAAAAATAACATACTGCCACACCTACTCATTTAACCAATGAGGGAATAGCTCTCAGTTTCATGTCAAAATCACTAAAACTCTTCAAACAAAGGAGCATGAAAGCTACTTAAAATTCTTTTTTGCTACACAGACTGTTTTGTACACATGTAATTAGGGGTATGTTACCGTAACAGATAAGTTTTGCTTTCCTAATCGTAATAAGATTAAAGAACATACTAAAACTGAACTTTAAAAAAATACATAATGACATGTTAATTTTACTTAACGTTATATTTTGGCAGTATGTATGTGTGGATTTTCAATATTTTACATTTAAATGTTTAAATAAATTTCCCTAGTGAATAAAATAAAAATAATTGTTAGAAGTGAAACTCACGTTTGTCAATTACAATTGAAAGTACAGAATATGTATATATTTTTATAATTTTAGAATAAAGAGTCTACGTTCAACTTCATATGATTGAAAATGTTGACTCCAGATTTTCAACTGAAGCAAGATGCAGAAACTTTGACTATTATCATCAAAGCTCCACATGCACGGGTATGATGGTTTAAATGTTCTTTTTTTTCTAGTCCTGTGTTATATACTGGGCCCTTTTTTATAGAGCTTTATCTCACAATATTTCAAAAGGCTTATAAATGGGGTGGGGGGATTGGGGTGGGGGTGGGGGCTCAGTTAAAAACGGGATAAGAACAAGGATCTTCATGTACTGCTGTAAGTGCTGATTCCAGTTTGAAACACCTCCAAGGAATCAGTCGCTATGATGAACTGAGGTAGTGCATTCAATATGGAAATTCCAGCTATTATTCTGGTAATATGGATTCATGTCTGCCCCACAGGTCTTGTTTTTATGTCAATTGATTGAGGAATCAGCGTTCAGTACTAAGCAATAGGAATGGGTATCGCCCAAAATTTTGTATCGTGATATATCACAATGTACTAAAAGTACATGTATCATGATAAAATCACTTAATTTTTACTATGATTTTAATGAATTTCCATGGGTTTTCTAACCAAAAATAGAGTGAAAAGATAACTTCACTTTTTTCATTTTTATTTATATATTAATAAAGCATGTTTGGATGCTAGGATGCCATTGTTTTACATTTTTACAACATTTTTCACAATGCCTGTAATTGTAGTTTAAGAGTTTGAACAAAAAATTAATAATTTCCTGAATTTATAATTACATACTTTATCTTCATATCATAAGACGTATCGCACAATAAAAAATCATGATATACCAGTATACTGATAAAATCGCACATCCCTACTAAGCAAGTTAGATATGTTTTATTTCACACCACTGTAAATTTTCATGTAATTTTTTGGATTTTATGCTAAATTTAAATCAAAATTATCAAAATAAAAAAAAAACAAAAAAAAAACTGCATGATCTCACTTAATTTACAAAGTACCCTTAGAGGCCAAAAAATATTAACTTTTAATGATACACATGTAATATGGTGTACTGCAATAGAGGCTTATTTAGCATAATTTATTTTCCAGATGGTCTCAAGTTCATTTTTCTGTCAAGTATGCTTATTTTGTCAATATACAGTTTGTCCTGAGCAAACCAGGCTTAGGTTATAAAGGTAGAAATCTCTGGTTGGATAACCTTAAGAGTAAGAGGCAAGACATGTAATAATAATTATTCTAGGAAGATCAGAATTGTTGCCAAATTAATGAAGGACTGCATTGTTTATGGGAGGTCAATGTGCTGCTTACACACACCTTGTAACATTCTTATGCTTTGTACTCAAAGTTTTCCATTTAAACTTTGACAGGACGCAATAACATGTCACAAATACCATTGTTTACAAAAAATAGAATTACTCAGTATATAATCACACATGAAAACAAGAAGGAAAAACATGTATATTGGAACTGTGAGGAAATTACCCTAACGTTTAATTTTTATGCAATTTTGAAAATTTAAAAGTTCAGGAATCCTTTTGTTGCATGGAATTCAAAATTGAATTCAGATAAGTAAGATTCTCAAAAAGCCTATCAAATTTTTTTTTTTTGTTTTCTTTGATGTACTCCGACCAACATCTTTCTAGGTGGGTAGGTAGCTTATTTAAAATTATTCAACATATTGCTAATTTTCACAAAAATCACAGGATTAGAAATTTATTGATGTTTTCATTATAAACCAGAAAGGTAAACCAATTTCTTATTAAATGACTTAGATAAATGATAAACCTTAACTTTAAAAATGATTGGGACAATCAGAATTGGTATTTCCCTGAAAGCCCTCCCCCCCCCCCCCCCTTTAAAAAAAATCAGGTAGGGGGGATTTTAATGGATCAGTTGGAGTACATCAAACAAATCATTATATCCCCGTTTGAAAAGTATGGGGGTGGGGTATAGTGATGGGGGTGTCTATCCAACCATTATGCCTGGGGGTACCCATTTCTTATCTGCAACTCCTCTTGCACTACTGAGTAAAGTGCAATGAGACTTGCACAAAATCTTTGTTACATAGAGCCATTGTGCACCTCCTATTTACTTTTTGATCAGACACATATTTTGGGTTTCTTTTTATAAAATCTGGGGTACCCATCTCTTATCTGCAACTCCACTTATACCGCTTAATATAATTTAATGATACTTTCACAGAATCTTTATTACACAGTGCCATTGTTCACCTCCTATTTTACTTTTTGATTTGACACATAGTTCAGGTCTCCAATACTAAAACATGGACATGCACTGCCATTCTTTCTATAATATCAGGGGTACCCATTTCTTATCCGCAAACTCCCTCTATACCACTGAATAAAATTTAACAATACTTTCACAGAATCTTTATTACATAGTGCCATTGTGCACCTCCTACCTTATGCTTTGATTGGAAAGATATTTGGCCACAACAAAAAATGATCTTTGCCATTATACTCATATGGGAGCGGGGTGTATCATTTGTGAGCTCAGTGCTCATAGTACCTCTAGTTTTTTATTATCGGTGGTAATATCTTGATTATTGCAGGTAACAGACACAGAGATCTTCATTGAAGGAGATGAATTCAGATTTCACTCAAAGCCATACTTTTTAAGGTACAGTACAAAATATTAAGAATTCTTTTACGAATGTTAATTAATGTTGCATATATTTAAAATTTCCTAGTTTTATCATGTTTATTCAAGTTTTCCACTTGAATTTGGTGATCAAGTTTTCAGTCTTGAAACTGAATGTAATATTTGGTCAAGTGATATTTCTTTTTAATAATTGTATTTATTTAATCGATGCTCACAAATATGAGTCCATTGCAGGCATATCTTCGTAGAAAGATTTCTAATTTTGAAATATTTTTTTCTTTATACATGTACAATATTTAATGAAATACAGTGGAAATTCAGTATTTCTAACATCTCAAATACCCTTAATGTGGTAAAATGTACTTGGAGTCCCAGCTACTTCCCAACTATTTTAATCTCATTAATTCAGATCCCCAGACATCTCAAAGTTTTTTTTCTTGACCTCATCCCATTGAGTTTGAAATAATGAGAATTGACTTCATATTGGTTATACTGGTAGTTCTAAGAATTTTTACTATGATTGACCTTAGTTAACCAGTGAGTGAAATACAGTCAAACTTCGATATTTCAAACTCCATGGGCCCGAGAAAAAACTTCGAGATGTCCAGGGTAAAATACTTAAAGAATAAGTAGTTGGGACTTAAATATCACTTCGACATATCTATGGTATTTAAGATATCCGTGTTCAAGATACCGAAGTTCAACTACTAGGGTTTCTTTGTACATGTACTGTCACAAACTTTCAATATTATCTTTTTTTTTGGTTGATAGGTTGTCCCTTCCTGGTAACATTGTAGAGAACGGCCGTGAAAAAGCCCACTATGACTCAGATAAAGGTTTGGACATCATAATCTGACGTGTTGCTGTGAAATCATTATATTTTATGGAGTCCAGTTTTCATGGATTTCATGGGTACCCTTACCCATGAAAAAACCTCTTCAATGTATATTCAAATGTATACTTCAATGTATATTGAAATAAAGATGAACCTTTGATAACAAGATTTTCACCCATGAAATGATGTCCTTATAAACCTTACATACTTGATGCAATTTTCTAGTTGCTAAACATACTCGAGAACATTTCTGACTGAAAAGATGATTGAAAAGCTTGCTGGTTTATTTGTATCAGTTGGATTATAAAACCATCTTCCTTTTTTAATCATCAGGAGAAGGGGGACTTGTTTACCACTTTTTGTAACACTGAGTACATTTACATTAACAAGTCTAGAATATCAACAATTACAATGAATTAAGTATTATCATTAATCATAGGTGTGTTCACAATTGAGGTACCTAAAGAAACAGCAGGAAAAATGTTTGAAGGACTTGACATGATAACCTCACTCCTAACTCCAAAGACACAGAAAAGCAACAAACCCATTATAGAAGTCATTGGGAATGGTAGATATATTTTAATTTTATATTACAACGTACATGTATTTGTTTTACTGTTTTATTAAAAAAAAAGAAATGTAAAAGATTTTGTTTTTATCTTATAAATCAGGCGACAAAGAGGAAGATAAATCTCAGGTTGATGAGGAGAAAGAGGAGGATTTTGATTGGTACCTAGAGCAAAAGCCTTATAAAGAAAATGAACTCTCATTGGATGGTCCAAAATATGGATTTGCCAATCAGAAGTCTGGAGTATTTAAAAGATTGCAGGTTTGTTTTTCCAAAAAAAAAAAAAAAATGTGTAACTACAAGATTACCAATTAAGTGTTGAATATTAATTATGTTGCATAAATAAAGAAGTCTGCATCTAGGCTTTGAAGTTTAATGGGTCATGTATTGCACCTAGGGACTATTTCAGTAAAAATATTTTTATCAATAAACCATTCAGTTCAATCAAATTTATCTGATTTGATGTCATCTGCATCTTATGGTTTGATTTAACAAATGTTACATAAAACAAAAATCAACATGTTGGTATAGTAATCCATTCGTATGATTTTACAACAACAACAACAAACAAAAAGTACACAGGAGAGTTGATGTGGTGAATTACTGTCATGCAATTGCTTGAAAAATAATTCTGGCAGATTTTTGATTTAGTCTCCTGCATGTATTTCAGGATGAAGTTTATGATATAGTAGATTTGCCTGACCCAGAAAACTGCTCACCAACAGACAGACGGACGATGAGAGAACATGCAGAAACAGAAAAGTTTGACCTGGACCATTACATGTAAGTTATCAAAAAAATTCAAATCAATACATGAAAATTGGGGGGAAAAAAGCACAGATGGTGATAGCTGTGATGTGTAAAGTAAATATCTACAGATTTGGTAATTCAACTTAATTTCCATTATGTTTTTTTTTAATTTTGTGTATAATGAATTCATAAAGAGAAACAGATGGGCTTTGATGTACATTTTAATTCATTTGTTTATGTTTCTTTACGTTACTGTCTTGTGTTTTACTGTATTGAGACTTTAGCTCTCTAGCTGTTGTTGGCGATCAAATTTGCACAGACACTCAGTTGGTCTTCAGCATGTACACAATATCCTTCAACATATAAATTATTCTCAGTTTTATGAATTTGCTGCTGTATTTTTAGGAAAAGGACCACAAGTTATTTCTCCCCTTTACAGTATTTTTCTCACAACTGTAATTTTAATGAATTTGTCATCAATTGTAGAGCTGATCTGCTTGATGACGAGAGCATACAGCAGATTATGAAGTACGAGCCTCCGTGGTGTTTTGAGGTGGGGAAAAAAGACACAGCAAAGAAAAGTATGAATTCTATACTTATCACAATTCTGAGTATCTCCATGTATCTTCTTTTAATTATGAATCCTGTAATGATACTATCAGTCATGTGACCTGTATCAACCATACGCTTTTCACATTTTTCTCATTCCCTGGGTTTCTTATTTTCACATAATGATGAGGTTGTGAATAATTTTTATTGTTTTTTTTTTTCAGTTGAATTCACAGATGAAGAACAGCAAAAGATGAAAAGCTTGCCCAAAAAAGAATGTATCTTTTTAGATATGTAATTATTTTTTTGTTAAAATTATTTCCTATTGTAACATTTATTTGGAAGGAAAGAAAAAAAACATTTGGTATACCAGGAACTTTTACATAATTAAATAAAAATGAGTCACTACATGTATTTATGCAACCATTTCACTTGGAATATTGTACGAACTAGCTTCCTTTGAATGAAATGTGTTTTAAACCTTAATGACACAAGATTTATTGGATGATGCCATGGTAACAACATTGTACTTGGGTTTGATTGACATTCTCTTTGGTTACGCCTACAATGTACGAATCAATGAGGGTGAGGAAAATGTGAGTACTTGTATTAATTGCCTCATAATAAAGATGAAGTAATGTTATACTAATATATTTACATTTGCTATGTTTTTCTACGAAACTAACTGTGAAATTGATTTGAATGCATTTTCGTGTATTCTCACATGTAGAAATATACACGGAGAAACTTGCGCTAAAGTGACGTCACAATGAGCTACAGAGACGTTAATAAAAATGTAACGATATAGGGCAGCGAATAAATCAAACATTTAGAATACTTTTGGTGCTTTTGAACATGTAAAATGTAAATATAAGGAATGTTTTTTAAGTTCAGTGTGAATTATTGGTGTGTAAATCACACAGACTTGCACGTAGGCATATTTTTCATGAAGCGCTAGCGCACTTCATGAAATATGCCTATGTGACAAGTCTGTGTGATTTACACACCAATAACTCACACAAAACTTAAAAACATTCCTTAAGTGGGGCTTCATCAGAGTTTGTACAGACCATGAAAAGTGCTTGAATTTTTATTCCATCCTGGAAAAGTGCTTGAAAATGCTTAAACAGCAGAAAATCATGGAAAAGTGCTTAAATTTTCATGTTAACTGCTTGAATTTTTTTCCTTTGGTGCTTGATCTTGAGATGCTACCTAAGGAAAGATATAAATAAAAGCTAGACAGAAAAGAAAAAATTCTTATTGGTTGACCTTTTTATAGCATGACTAGTTAGAACATGTTGATGAAACATAAAGGTGAGGTTAAAATGAGGTAAAGATATTTAAAAAATTCCCAACCAATGTATTGTGTCAGGTTTTTATTTGCATGATTGTATTGTTCAAAAGCACTTCAGAAATCTTTTAAAATGGCCTAAAAACTGCTGGAAAAGTGCTTCAAAAATAATATTGCTAGGCTGTACAAACCCTGACCCAGTGTGTTGTACACTTGTACTTGTGTTAGTATTTAACTAAGAGTTGGGATTATTAGTACTGTTTTAATTACATTGTCCTTTTTGTTATTGAAATTCTGTTTCAATTTTGTTTAAAGTTTGTCATCTGTCAATTACCTTTTCACATTTTTGATGCATGTCTTCTCAAGAACAGCTAGGCCAATTTAACCACACTTATGTACAAATCCAAAGGCTATATTCAAAATTGAAACTCCGGACTAGGGTGAGCTGTATTATAGATTATTATTTATTTGTTTAATACAGTAATATTATTCTTACCTACCATGGTGTAAAATTTATACCCTATGACTTGCCTGTAGTTTAGGCCTTGATAAAGGGCCTGATTTCAGGCTAATTTTTCAGGATTAAGAATGTGAATTTGTTGAACATTGTAGCCCATAGTCCTCTTGTTTCTTTTAATCAGGTGGAATCTGGATGGACTATCTGCAAACTAAGTGCCACTCTTTCTTGGTTAGATGTAAGTAAAGTCAAAGTCAGTGATCTTAAAGGCCTAAATATTGATAATTTAAACCAAGCGTTATACTTGGTAACCTTAATTACAGGCCCTATACTTTTCTGTTTAGTTCTGTTACAATTTTTAGAAGTCTTAACCAGAATGGCTGAAAAAAATCCCACTTCGAAAGTTCTTTCAATGATTACAAATGTAAAGGCAACTCTTTGTACTTAAAGACCTTCACCAGTGTAGAGGAGGTTTTGAGGTCATGCATGAGACGAAGTCTGTGTTTTCCCCTCTACAGACACTGGCAGCTCTCAACAACAGTTCTAAAGGACGTCTACTGTATTCTGACCTCTGGTAAGTCTGAGTTCCAAAGGACATTTACAGTTTAACGACCACTGGTAAGTTTTAGTTTCACTATCCTTTTTCAGGAATTTTTTTTCCCCAACTTTTGGGGGATGGGATAGTATATTTTTTGAGTGCAAACTATAAATCACAGATTACAGAATTAAGTATTAGGGGGAAAACACTCAGCTCATATTGTATACACAGGTATATTTTCTAATTTTTGCTGTAATATTTTTATAGGTAAGAAGCAGATTTTGAGGTGTCTGTTGGACATACATACAATACTTAATGGTTCCTATCCTAGGTACATCCTTAATGATTTATACATTACAGACTATTGTGTATGGATACAAAATGTGAGGTATGTCAATTATATTTAATTTTAGCTCACCAGAACCAAAGGATCAAGTGACCTTTTCTGATCAAAAAGTGTCTGGTGTCCTTCTGTCTATCTGTCTTGTGTTGCATTTCTGCCCAATACCACTGGACTAAATTTAAACTATGGTAATTTCAATCAAACTTGCCACAAAGCAGCCTTAAGTGATGGGGAATCCACTTTGTTCAAATTAAGAGCCACTGCCTTTTACCAAGAGGAGATAATTAAGAAATAGGGAAAATTTGATGGCATATTCAAAAATTATTTTCTCACTGGCAGGAACCATGTGGTCAGAAAACACAAAACCAATATGAATTGTGCAGATTCACATTGGCTCAAATCATAGTGCCTGGGGCTATGAAGAGGCCACAAAGATCAAATCTAACACTGAAATATTTAGGAAAATCTTTAAAATCTTCATAAAAATGGACTACAGTTAGTCATAATAATAAATGAAAATTCCCATATAATGAATACTCAGTTTTATTCAAAGTATGGCCATCTAGGCTAGGGTGCAGTCAATAAGGGTTAATGTTTGAAGAAAAATATAATTTTTTTTAAGATATTGACTATATTGACTGGGACAGAGTTTATCAAATGTTGAGCCTTGTCTATCCAAAATTTGATATTTTGATAACTCTTTGGCAATTCACATTCCAGGGTGGGACAAAGTTGGCAAGTATAAAGTGCACTGAGTCTGTTCATGTCACTGAAGAGTAGAAATGTTGATTTTGTACTTTGTATTTTAAAAACATCTTTTGTATAACATATTGTTTAATGTATTATAATGAGTTTTCATCTAAAATTGTGAGTTACTATCTCTGATATCTAGGAGGTAAACTATTCTATATACATCTCCTTACCTTTATATTGATAGTGATAAAAGACTGAGATCCTTGGCATCAACATTGGAAAAGGTTTGAAATACATTTACGAATACTAAAGAAACTTTTTAGACTTGTTACTTCAGACTGATTGAGAAAAAAAAAACAAATCAGGATAAAATATCCTTTTATATAAGCCATAAAATTTTCATAAATACATATCAAAAGTACAGTAAAATATTAATATTTTTTTATGCAGATTCAGATATCAAAGGAAGACTCTGGACTTGATCTTGTAGCATTTGAAACTTGTGCACTGGACACTAAAAATGATGACACAGAAGAGACACTGGTCAGTTCACTGACAGCTGTCAGTATCAAGCGGGCTGACAATGACAGCGATGATGATACTGATGACAGTACTGAAAGTTATGACAGTGAAGACGAGGGAGAAAGTGACACTGAAGGAACTGCTCAAAGTGAAAGTAGCATGAACAAGTGAAAGTTGTACAAACAGCTGTCAAAATTATTTACTTTGAATTATACATTAACCTACAGCAAAATTGCAAATATTGCTCATTTTTGTGGCAATTTAAAGACAATTAAAATTGGTATTATTATTCATTTTTGTTTATTTAAAATCTATCAGCTGTTGATTTGAGGTCTGTGGTTTTACATACTGAGAAATTCATTTAAGATGTAGGGTCATTTTTTCTGAATTTCTTGAGGACCCCTTGAGCATGACCTGAATAATTAAATGAAAGCCACTAGTATTAGGCCTACATGTTAAAAAGTGTACATTAAGACACAACAAAAGTAACTTCAAAATTCAAATATCAACAAAAAAAAATGACCCCCCTCCAAAATAAATAAAATATTTAACAATAATAATTTTAAAAATCTTACGAAAAAGGTAACAACAATGGGTCTCAATGCTCACCTGATTCCATGTGGCCCTACTGTTCTTCAACAGTAGATTTTTCCCCATATATTCCTATGTAAAACTTTGTTCACTTTTTGTGGCCCTACCCTACCCTGGGAGTCCTAATTTGAAAAAAAAAATTGAATCTACAACTTTATTATTATGACTACATGAAATCATGCCTTTGCCATTCTTGAGAAGAAGATTTTTTCCCTACTATATATTTCTATCTACCTCCAGGGATCATGATTTGAATAAACCTGATGATGCTTCCATATCAATATCAGGGTTGTCCCAAAGAATTGAAATAGCAGGAGACATTAAAAAAGTAGTAGGGGGTCTGAGGCTCCTCCCAAACAGAGGGTTGAGGGGGAATACCAGAGTAACTGACGGATTACATCATTATAGGCAAGAAAATTTCCTGGCCCCCAGGTCTTAGGGCCAACCCTGAATATGACTATTGATGGCTTTATTGTTCTTGAGAAGAAGATTAATAATGACTTTTCCTATATATATTCCTATGCAAAACTTTGATTGTACATTGTGTCTCCACCCTACCCCCAGGGGTCATGATTTGAACTAACTTGAATCTACACTACCTGAGGATGCTTCCACACGAGTTCCATCTTTTCAGGTCCAGTGGTTTTTGAGGAGATTTTTAAAAGATGACATTAAATTTACACTTATTCTAAATTATCTCCTCTTGAAAAAGGACAAGGCTCTTCATTTAAACAAACTTGAATCCCCTCCATCCAAGGATGCAATGCTTTGTGGCAAGTTTGGTTGAAATTGGCCCAGTAGTTCTTGAAAATGAAGAAATTGAAAATGTAAAAAGTTTTACAGATGGACGACAGAAAAAATAGATCAGAAAAGATCACTTGGGCTTTCAGCTCAGATGAACTAAAAATGTTGAAAAAAAATATCCTAGTATCTAAATAACAGATACAGAGCCACAGTGTATCTATACTTCCTATCACAGTAATATTTTCATTGTTCACTGTGTAACCTTTACCCATAGATTCAATTGCCTGATACATTCCTTTTACTGAATTGAAGTTTGGTATGTCATTCTCTTGTAGAATATTTCTGTATTAGATTAATTATCTTTGAATCTTTTGCTGCATTTTGAGGGTTCATTGAACGTTCGACAGTTAATAGATTTGGATAGTTTTTAAGAAGATGTTCACAGAGCATGTACGACCTATTAACACAGGCATTGTACAGAACAGTTTTTCCAGCTCTAGAGACATGATACACAAAGAGATTATGTGTTTTCAGTAAATACTCAAAAATGTCTATCCTATCTTCATCAGCTCCCCCCTTTTCACCTATAAACAAAGCTGCATTCCAGCCCTTTTTGCTTTCTTGTTTGACTAACTCTGGATATCTATCTGCTATATATTTACAAATATGGAGTCTTCCATGGGAACATGCAATATGAAGAATGTTAATATTTTGAGATGACAGTGCATTTGCTTGCAGATTACAGTCCTCGATCAGGTATCTCAGAACTTCTACATCTCCACATTTAGCTACAAAATGGCCAGCATGTCTCCCAGTCTTATCTGTGGTATGTATACTTTCAGGATGATGTTGAGCAATATACCTCCAGCTTCAAGATGTCCATTTTCACAAGCAGAATGTTAGGCAGATTTCAGATCTTCGTTTACATTATGTACAAGAACATGTCTCTCGTCCAAGAACTGTAAAATTTCTGTGTTTCCAGACTTGGCTGCATATTGGAGGGTATTCCAGTCCATCTTATTTGTTCTCTTGATTATTTCCTCTTCTTTCTCCTGTCCATTGTTCATTGATTCCTGTGTACACTGTTGATCAATTTCCGAAGCCATCTTCAAAATGTCTAAGCTTTCTCCAATACATGCGAGATGTGCAGTAGATTCACCGTATTTTGTTACCTTTGTAATATCGAATCCCCTTCTTCTTATGTCCTCTAGTATACTTTTCTGTCCAGCATGGGCAGCGTAACAGAACGGATCAGACCATTTTTGTCCTTGATCTGCATTAAATCGGTTTTGGAAGCCTTTTGCAGAATGGCGTCAAAAGTTTCAGTGTTCCCTCTTTTTGCAGCCAAGTGCAGAACGATCCTTCCAGTATTGTCTCTTCGATATAAGTCCGTCTCTTTGAATCCCAATAAACTTTACACGATTTCATGGCATCCCCAATATAGAGCATGATGGAGGACTGTCCATCCCATATTATCTTTTATTGTCAGTAAGTCTTTATCAAATTCCAGTGGTGTTGTCAGTTTATTATATCTTTGTACATCTCCCTTTCTACACGCTGCTATGAGACTCGCAAAATCCGAGTCTGCAAAATGGTAACATTAAAAGAAAAATTAACAAAATGTGTAACGATCCCTCCACCTGCTTCATTTTTTTGGAATGAAATATATTGAATGAAATATTGTTCAAAGTCCAGTGAACATTATTATTATTTTTTTTTTTACACAGTTTTACTTTTTAACTTTTTACGCTTTTTCCTCGTTGATAAGGAATTGAATAAAAAAAGATTAGTTATACCTTGAACGTTCCACCATCTTGTAACTGAGGTGAAGAATTGATTAGTTATACCTTTAAGGTTCCACTGTCTTGTATCTGAGACGAAGAATTGAGATGAAATAATGATTAGTTATACCTTGAAAGTTAGTTCCATTGTCTTGTAACTGATGGTGTTCAGCTGTAGACTGGGGACTTCCGGCTGACTGGCCAATCGTGTCCCGAACGTTTGATTGGCTTTCTTGTAACAAATGTTCTTCCGGAGGTTGAATTCTGATGACTCTTGGTTCTATAGCTGACCCAGCTGTGAAGTGATGTTAGGTTGGTTGGATATGGTGAGAGAAGAACATATTGTGATTTTGAAAAAGTCAAGGATTTAATATTACCAAAAATCGTAAATCGTAAAATTAATAATTTTTATTTTTTAAAATTCAGACTGAGCATTTAAAAAGCCGAAAATTGTATTAATTTTAATTTGAGAGTCGCAATGTGTTGTAATTAACATACTTATAATATACTCTTAGTAGTTTGGAACCCACAACTAGGAGCATTCTAATCACGAAGATGTATTCATTTGAACAATATTTAATAAACAGAACATTATGATAGTGTCTATTTGAGGCATAAGTGTCTGTTTAAGGGTATAGTGTCTATTTGAGGGATAAGTGTCTATTTCAGGGTATAGTGTCTATTTGAGGGATTAAAGAGTATTTAAGGGTATAGTGTCTATTTATGGGGGTTATGAGGTGATAACCAACGTGCGGACACGTGATTATTTGTCTCCCCTTTCCTATACAAATTGAAATCAGCGAAATGCGCAAATCCATGAAACTGGATAATCACTCATATCTATTACTTCAAAACATTTTTGCGCAAAGACTCTAAAAAAATCAGAAATGAAAAGTTTGTACAAGGATCGTTAGACATACCTGTAATTTGAATAAACTTTCTGTGTATCCGATAAGACACATAAACGACGAGGCCAAATATTACTGCAAGTACTAAAATCATAACTATAGAGATGATCTTCCAGGTGTCATCATTTTCGGAGTTATATATTGGATGCTTTTGTTGGTTTCAGATACGAATGTTATGTGGAACGAAAGTCTGCAATATAATAATATTTGTACATATGTAATAGTACTTGCTTCTATGCATTTCTTCCAAACAGTTCTAATGAATAGGCATATTGACATCATGTTTGGTATTTCGAAAAAGAAATATTGATCTAGTATTTAATTTTTGTGTTGCAATAACGAAGCTCACGAATACAAAAATGGAATGTTCATTGCTCGAAAAAAAAAAGGTAAAAGTATCTGATAAGTTTATGTTCAATAGAGCAGAGGCATTCAATAAAAAAGTAGATCTTAGGTTGAATTGTGATATATATATATATATATATATATATATATATATATATATATATATATATATATATATATATATATATATATATATAAGGGTTCTGTTTGAAAAATGGATAATTTTGAATATGTAAAACAGTACCTAAATGTATAGATAGGCTATTGTATACACATACATACAAAATATATGACACCTACTTTGACACGACACATTGAATTTTAGTATCGTGGCACTTGGTAGATATATTGAAAATCTTTGCATCATCAATCTTGAGATTTGCCGTTTGGTTTAAAGCTCTTTAAAGATAAAAATAAAATACATGTAAAATTAAAAAAAAAAAAAAAAAAAAAAAAAAAAAAAAAAAAAACCAAAACAACAACAGAAAAAAAGAAGTCTTGCTTGTTCTTTTAATTTAGACATATACTTTTGGCAATTGCCTGTCTATTTGTGTTTAAGAAGATAACTTCTTTTAAATTTTTGTTAAAACTTGAAAGAAAAATAAAATTAGTAGAGACTTGTTTGTAATTACTAGTACATGTACTTGGTATGCATTTTCCCATGATTCTTGAAAATTAAGAGCTATATACTCTTAACCACTTAAGTTTTTTTTGGCACGAATGGTCACTTATTGAGATGAAACATTGCTCTCTGTTATAGCTTGAAACCAAAAAATAAATCAGATAAAATTTGGTTGCTATGTTTCTTGATTGTCATGGTAACAGCCGGGAAAATGTGAAAAATTGAGATCAGGTACTTTTGAATTTTTATTGAGCCTTAATAAAGACTAAGAAAACCAAATTAATCCCTCTCACAAAATATTACACTTCATAGTAACTTACGGTGTAAGGAAATTAATTAGAATATTGTAGAATGTAGTCCAAGTGGTAGCCATGGATACATTTGGCATACATTTTAAAGACGAAAAACACTCTGTATTCACAATTGATAGGTGTTACAGGCTAAAACTCAATCAACAACGCAGGAAAAACAATAGAAATGCTAGGTCTGGTGTAAAAAGGTTATAACAGCAACATTCTATCCAGAGAGAGAGAGAGAGAGAGAGAGAGAGAGAGAGAGAGAGAGAGAGAGAGAAACAGATTATCTACCTCACTTTAAAGTGTACTATCAGCTAGAATGAAAATTGAATGTCATATATTGATATTGTTGGTTTGATGAGGAAAAGAATACTATTGATTTGGTTACCAAGAAGGAAAATGTTCAGTGGAAACCACAACACATAACAACCAATTTTTGCCTGATATAAGTTTATGGCAACAAAGACTTTACTCATAGAAAGTTTGGAGAAATTCTTAGACTATGATGCTGTGTCCAGCCAATATATTAGAGTTAAAGTTAAAGAGACCGGCTCTTAAAAGAACACATACCTTGAAATGGGTGAATTAAAAAAAATGACCATCAAACTGAATTTTTTTGGCAAAATTCAACTACTTATAACATATTTTTCACCTATATCATCATATTGCAAATGCATTCTAGTTTAAAATCCTGAAGTGGCAATAGAATAGACAATTGGATTAAAAAGTTTCAGAATTTTTATTAGTAAAATTTCTTTTGAAAAAAGAAAATATCATTACACCTTAAAAGACTTTCTAAAATACATAATCACAAGAAATTATAGTTTTTTTATGCTTCAAAATGGTAAAAGGGGTATAAATGATTAAATCTAGACCTTGAATGAGTATCTTCTCTTGTACATGTGACAAAAATTGGCTTTTTGATTGTTATTTTACATTATTTTTTCAATTCTGGTTTGAAAAGTTTTAAGATGAAAAAAATATGAAGCAATAAAATTCCCCAAAATTCACTGTTTTGTCCGTTCAAGTCAATTCTTTAAATCTAAGCCAAAAAAAGAATTGTTATATACGAGTTCTCTTACCAAAAATACTAGATTTTGAAGTGACCCTATGTTACATTTTTGTGTTGCACTCCTGACATCTGATATGTATTTTATTTAATATTGTTTTAAAAATTATAACACACAATAACCCATTCTTACTTTGTAAATCAATTTGTAGTGTTGATATTTTTCATCGTTTACAGCAGGTTTTTCTTAAAACATGATTATTTGCAAAGTGTAGTATATATGAATTGTATTTAAAATATATGTGAAATGATGAAATCTATTCCCTGAATTGACTGTAAAATTTCTGTAATTTGTTGATAGACATAGTGTTTTGAACATCAAATAGTATCAAGCATTTCTTTCAATTTATTTTTTAGTAAAGATAGTTAAAAACCATCGGTAATTATGAAGCAGTTTTGTTGCACTCCTGACTGCAGTAAAGTTTAAAATTAAAACCATAGAACACAAACATTCATAAAGTGTTGGAAACATCAAGTGGTAATGAAATTGTGCAATATTTATAGTCCAATACTTCATAATTAAAACAGATGAAAGTATTTAAAATTCGCATTTTATCTGGAACTATACCCTATTTTATGCAAAAAAAAAAAAAAAAAAAAAAAAAAAAAAAAAAAAAAAAAAACAACAACAAAAAACTAGCTTAAATTATATTTAGAAGATAAAATATATTTTAAAGCATATTTTCCTTTAGAAGACAAACACAGTAACCCACCAGAAAAATTCTACTCATCATTTTTTCGTTATTTTTATTCGTATTGGATGATTTATAATTCTAACATATTTGTTGCACTCCTGACCAAAGGCATTGGGGCTTTTAAAGTAGAATTGTGAAGTGAAAATTGCATAAGAACTTGTTCTGTTGTTTCAGTGAAGGTGAGGAGGAATTACTTGAATTTTATTACAATGTTTTAGTGTGTTTATTTTTAACGTTCATTAAAAAAATCACAAAAAAGATAAAAAACACATCTGAATTCATAAACTTGAAAAAAGGAAGGATTTCAATAATAAAACTGTCAATAATTTAGCTTTAAATTATACAAAAAGATCATTATTAATTAATGAATACTTCTAAGCATTAATAGAAGTTTTTTCGTCACACAACTTGAATCTTTAAAAAAATGTGTTGCACTCCTGACCATAGAAATATGGATCTGAAGCACAGACAGATCCTGTAATTGATAAATCTATTTGGTAAAAATGTTCTTTGTGTCTTTATTTTCCAAAATATAAATCAGAAAATGATATAATGATAATAGTTTTTTCATGCTTGGGAGCATAACATCAAATGTTGCACTCCTGACATTTTTGGGTATGCACATATACTTGACTCTCATTAATGCTGCTTGTGATTTATATAACATTTTTAAGTTTTAAAATGTATATCAGTTATTATTTTACACTTCCAAAATTCTTTTTTGTCTTAATTTCCTACCCGAATTTTACAATTGATGTTTTTTCGGCAACACTAAATTTTTTCTGTTGCACTCCTGACATGGTACAACATTTTTTTAAACATCAGCCATGGCCACAACTTGATTAAACAAAAGTTATGACAGTCCACATTTAAAGCTCAATACTTTGAGTATTATCAGGAAAGTCTTCAACATGAAGCATTATTTTTTATTTCACAGATCTCCAAAAAATATTGAAATTTCAAAATGTCACAAAAAATATTGAAATTTCAAAATGACACAAAAAGGTGTTGCACTCCTGACAATTTTAGCATTATTTTTGGGCATAACTTTTTTGTTAATTGAGATATCAATGAGATATTTGGCAGGTATTTAGACACTATCTAAAGACATATGCTGAGACATAGAAATCTATTTTCATTGCATGTATTTTTAGTGTGGGTTGATAAATATGCATTTGGTCATTTTTTTTAATTCACCCAAATAAAGCATTGAATATCAGCATGGAAACAACCAAGTTCTTGATTGATTTGTAGACATTTAGGATCTAGAAATAAAAGAAGAATTTAGGTGCGTTATATGAACAGTCCTGAAAACTTTTTATTCCTAGGAATGCAACTTTTAATTTTCTATTACTTACAATATGAAGGTTTGCAAAAATAATCAAAATTGTTTTTGATATTAAAAAGAATGTCTCTCAAAACAATCCAGTAACATATAACTTGTGTGCTATGTATTTGCATTTTGTAAAACGATTGGCATTAAGCAATGAGAAAGCAAAACCTTTAGCACTTCAGTAAAGAAGAAGTACTGAAAACGACTTACATTTATATATTTCATTACTGAAGAAGAATCTATCTGGGCATCCACAGGGAAATGAATTCTCACAGGGATAATGGTTAAGTATGCCATCCGCCGCCAATTCAAGACAATTCCCTGTCAGCACAAAAAGGTAAGCAAAGGGATTGGACACGTGAGACTGAGTGAGAAGGTTTGCAAATACTTATAATAAACCAGAGGAAGAATACATACAGAGCAGACTACATTTAACTCTTAATATTGCAAGAAGATGATTGAGAGTGGATATCACCCTGATCTCAAGTTAATTAAAAGTAAAGCAGTCAATGAAGGGGGATTCATGATCTTCTGTATGTGGAATGCATATTTGCTTTTAAGAATTTCTTGACCCATTTTATGATGTATTTGAAATTGAATTACATTTTTCATATTTTCTACTAAAGTATAATTGTTATGCACAAGAAAAGTTTCATTAAACCTTTCTCAAATGGAAGTTTGCTTCCACGTATGTAGCAGAACTCTATCAGGGATGTCATGTTTTTGTCTGGAACACAGTGGTATCCATGTGTTTCGTTACATTTCAGTCTGGTCCACGCAGCGTCCCATTCCTCTTTACTCATTGGGCATTTTTCAACTTGAGTCACGTTAAATTTGTATCCATATTGCTAAAATGTTAAATATATTACATGTATATACTTTGCATTGCACTATGCCATAGTTTGCATAACGTGTGCTTGATAAATTACATTCTATTTAAACTTGTTAATCATTCTTTAAAAATTCATTTTCTCACCGTCTTTTCACCATGATATCATCTTATTTAAATCATTTTAATTCATGTTAATGTTGCATTGCATGACACATAAGGTGCAAGTTTTTATAAAGAGCTAATCAATGTAAAAGGAAACAACTATGAATATGAATATAAATGAGGCCACACAGAAAAAAAAATTGTGAAAACTGTTGAATGTATATACAAAGCCGGTAATAATGAACTTCACTTTCTGCTGAAACAAAATGCACGAATAAACGTACCCAGTTATAAGGTTCATATCGTTGACGTCATGTAAATAGACAAAAACAAGTATGACATGCACAAAAATCTTCATAATCCCAGTCCTCATAAAAGTGATGTTGACAAAGGAAAAAAAAAACTGAAAAAAAAAATCATATAAACAGACAAAATCTATCAAGGAAGAAATTAAAAGGGAAGTTTATTACTCAATACCACTCAATCATGAACTCACAAACACTCACTTGTACGTCATGTGAAATCGTACAGTAATACATGTACGTACATGTAAATGTGGTGCAACAACGTTTTCTTTGCATCATTCGGCATAATTTTCGACCACAGTTGCTTCATTTTATTTACTTTTCAGAGAACAATCGATGAACTCAGTTTAACCGTGAGCTGCTAAAGTTAGGGTTATTGTGGTTATGTTCAAAATTTGTAGACTTGTGTTTGTTAGAAAGCTTGATAAATATTATAAAGATAAATACGAGTATACAAACGCGACGATATACCTCTCTGGCAAGAATGATTGAAGCATAATATTATATATCCTAATATTATTCATAGTTTACTTTACCAGAGTTTAATAATTGAGACCTTTGAGTAGTCAATAAGAGTTAACTCTGGTAAAGTGAACTATGAGTAATATTAGATTTTTTTACTGGAAAGTTTTCTCTCTCATCAGAGGGTCGACCCTCTTAAATTGACGTAATACTGACTTGCAATCTGAATACTTAACCTTACAACTATCATTTAACAATGGTTTGTTGTCTTCTGATCTTTTAACCTTGTTATTTTCATACAAGCCTTGTCTGCTGGAACCATAACATATTGTTCATGTAGTTTTTCTAATTCATTTATCACTCTCCGAGTGAAAACGGAAGGATAGATGGTTTGTGTATTGCCTTTTTAACTTTGTAACACGATTCTTTAATATACATGTATTTCTAAAACATTTAATCCATTCTGACAGAGTTCAGATTTTGCCCTTTATATGCAGCCAAACATCTGGCTGCATCTTCGACAGAATTCATAATAAAATGTCGCGAATTGAAAAATCCGGGCTAAGAAGATGTTAAAAATCGGGGCTAATAAGATGGTTAGAAAAAGATAAAGATTGTATTGTTGTTTTGTTGACTATAAAAAGGCTTTTAATTATATCAACTAGTCTATGGGTGAAGCTTTAAAAGTTACATGATATAAATGGAAAATTTAAATCACTTTATCAGAATGTGAAAGCTTGTATAAAACATCATGGAACATTATCATAATATTTCACTATTTCAGTTGGTGTATTAGCAGGGGGAAATTTTGTCAGCATTATTGTTTTCAATGTACGATAATGATTTTGAGCGCCATTTTATATCTACTAATTGTCCAGCAATAAAATTGCAAATGACTAATTTATTTTTACTTATGTATGCTGATGATACAGTATTAATGTCAGAAACACCAGATGGTTTACAAAATACATGTATTTTAGATTCATTACATTCTTATACAGAAGAATGCGTTTAACTGTAAATGTTGAGAAAACTTAAAGTTAGTTTGTAGAAACAACGAAAGTATTATAGATAATGAACATAGGACCTATGCTGGGAATGCTGTAGAAATAGTTAATGAATTTGTTTAATTTTAATGGTATATTTTCAAACATTTTGCATCACAGAGAAGAAAAACCATGTAAAGTGTAATAGACTGAAAATTTTTAATTTTAATATTGTAATGTTTAAGGTTTATATTAGTCGTGTGCTGAGTTTTGCATCTGATATGGGGATGGTATAAAGCCAAGGATGTAGAAAAAGTACACCTTTCATACAGCAGAACTGTATAAGAGTATCAGGGAATGTGTGATGAATATATCTAAAACGCTGTCAGATTTATGTAAATCACCAAAATGTCTCATTTACCAACACCTTGTTAATAATTAAACCCTCCAATCTTACTTATGTAAATCAATACATTTAAAATATAGAAAACCATTTACCATATAATGACTATCTGCACATAACTTAATGGAGTCTTTAATTCGATTAATAGTAAAAACAAAACAGACATAATTTTAATTTAAAAGAAATTATTTTGTTTTTATCTTAACAAGAATTTCAAATCTGGTATTAAGCTAAAAAAAATATTATTCTCAAAAAGCTTTACTATTTTATTCAATATTTATCAGGTCAAAGAAACGCACATTATCTTAAAGATAAGAATGTAAAACATTTCATCATTACCTAATTACAAAGAGTATGTTAAATGTAACGTAAATATCGCACATAGATAACAAACAAAAAAGCTTTATCGGAAAACTCACAAAGGTTTTGTTTGTGAGTTTTTCGATAACGCTTTCACAAGCAGTATAAAACATTTGAAAAAATCAACATATTAACGTAAATTAGATATTAATTACCTGAAAAACATAGCCACATGCCTTCTATGCCTAAGCAACAATTTTAATGAGAAATATTAGGTTGATAATCATATATACGTATACCTTGCAAGCAATAAAAAAGGGATGGATTCAAGCAGGGACCTATATACTATATTAGTATATAGGTCCCTGATTCAAGTTTCATCCGTTTCTTTGCATCCAACATGAGGATACTTCTTTTTTTAAACCCGACGTAGTAGCCCCCCCCCCCCCCCCCTAAACACAGTACCAGTACTGCGGGTATGGCATGTCAAACGTTGCAATATTCGATCTTTTCCATTTGTATTGTATAATTTTCCATTTATATTCTATAATTCTCCATTTATATTCTATAATTTTCCATTTGTATTGTATAATGTTTATTTGTATTCTTTAATTTTCCATTTGTATTCTATAATTTTTCATTTGTATTGTAAAATTTTTATTTGTATTCTATAATATTTCATTTGTATTGTATATTTTTTCATTTGTATTGTATAATTTTTATTTGCATTGTATAATTTTCCATTTGTATTCAATAATTTTTCATTTATGTTGTATAATTTTTCATTTGTATTGTATAATTTTTATTTGTATTCTATAATTTTCCATTTGTATTCTATAATTTTCCATTTGTATTGTATAATTTTCCATTTGTATTCTATAAATTTCCAGTTGTATTCTATAATTTTACAATACAAATGAGAAATTATACAATACAAATGGAAAATTATACAATACAAATGGAAAATTATACAATATAAATAAAAATTATACAATACAAAGGAAAAATTAAAGAATACAAATTGAAAATTATACAATACAAATAAAGATTATACAATGCAAATAAAAAATTATACAATACAAATAAAAAATTATACAATACAAATGAAGAATTATTGAATACAAATGAAAAATATAGAATACAAATAAAAATTTTACAATGCAAATGAAAAATTATAGAATACAAATGGAAAATTATAGAATACAAATGAAAAATTATAGAATACAAATGGAAACTTTTACAATACAAATGGAAAATTATACAATACAAATAGAAAATTATACAATACAAATGGAAAAGATCGAATATTGCAACATTTGACATGCCATATGCGGGACTACATTTCCTACGTCTATACAATATGGAGTTCTAATAGTACTGAGCTGTCTGGAGCTTAACTCTTTCTGTATGTATAAGTCAATGCTTAAACCCTTAATATTGTAAATATTGATTATGGTATCCTAAATAAGCCTGAAGTCAACCCTTTTCAAGAAGCATATTTTTAATTAGCGAATCTGGATTAATAAAAAAAAATCATTTATCGATGATTAACATTTATAGGCGTTGAATAACACAATCATATAATTTTACCAATTCTTTCTGAAAAATATGCAATTTCATTAACGAACAGTTTGTTTAATAACAATTCAAATTAAATTGTCTTTTTTATGTAAAAATTTACCGGGCATAATAAGATGTAAAATTTGCCTTCTTATATTATAAATATTTAGTATAATATATAATTTTTTTAAAATTTAAATTTGAGTGTATAACCATGGACGATACACTATCAGATCAAACAAGCAACAAAATACAAATAATGCAAATAATTTAGCACAAACAATATTGACCTTACGAATTGTTACGTAAAAACTTTGCTCTTAAAATTGTACAAAGTAAACAAATTGCTCAAAATGGAAACATCCGGTTTTTAGACCATAATCCTACTGGAGAATGCTTTTATGTCAATTCAATTTTCAAATCATACAGATGCAAAAAATATATATTTTTTTTTCATATTTGCACTTCCATTTGCATCTGTACACTTTTGTTGCAGAAAGAAAAAATGCCAGTGTAGGAAACAATGTATTTCTCTGTTTTTAAATAATTAAGTTTTACCCGCAAATTTGTTCAAAAAGCTTTCGATTTTTAAATTCTAATTAACTTTAAAACACGGTAACCTAAATATCGGTGACGTAAATATTTTTATGAGCTTTATCGTATCTTTCAATGTGGTTGTTTATTTTTTTCACTGTTAATTAAAGGCATATTCTATTGCTTGAGTGTAGGTCAATTTTATCCATAGGAAAACAGTGTTGTTCTCTTACTTTTAATTTGTGAATAGACACATAAACACGTAATTATCAATGAAAATTTTTACCTCTGGATTTAGATTCACAAAGTCAGGACGTTCCACTTTTCAAATTTGTGAATATTTGGAATTCTCGAAGTTT